GGGCTCCAGGTACCATCTCCTCCCTTCCTCCCTCCCTCCCAGTGCTAATGCCGGGTCCTTTCCATGTCTGCAGTGCTCACCTTGGCAAGATTCCCTTGGGGAAAAAATATTCCCCAAAGACCCTGCAGGGAATGGTGATTTGGTGTCCCTGCCCACAGCAGGGCATGAAAAGAGATGGGCTTTAACATCCCTCCCAACCCAAACCATTCCGGGATCCTTTGCCAAGACCTTTGGAGTTTTGGCTCATCCTGGTACAAAATATTTTTGGCTTCACTAATTGTCCCAAACCAGCTGGTTTTGGGTGTCCCCAGGAGGAGCCAGAGCCCAGGGACAGAATGGGAAAGCCCTGAGGAGGTGCCACTTGTCCCCGAGTCACCAGAGGGTTTTACAAAAATATCTATGAGGGAACAACCTCAGCTTGTGCCAGGGGAGGTTCAGGTTGGATACCGAGAAAATTCCTTCATGGAAAGGGTTGTAAAGCATCGGAAGAGGCTGCCCAGGGCAGGGGGGAGCCCCCACCCCGGGGGGATTTAACAGCCCTGCAGAGGTGGCACTCAGGGACACGGCCTGAGTGGCCTCGGCAGCGCCGGGGGAGCTGGGGGGTCTCCGAGGCCTTTCCCACCCCACCATTCCATGATGCCACGTGGATGTGGGAGCACATGCAGGGAGCAGCCATGCAGGGCTGGGATGGCCGGGATGGCGGGTGAGGATGGCGATGGCCCCACATGCCCCCACACCCAGGGGTCACACGGGTCACACAGCACCTTCTTGGGCTTCGCTCCGCGCTGCGTGAGGAGGGAACAGAAGGAACGTTAGACAGGCCCTGCCAGGGACCCGGGAATGCCCCGGGAACACCCATTCCCCCGGGAACACCCGGCCCTGCCAGGGATCCGGGAATGCCCCGGGAACACCCATTCCCCCGGGAACACCCGGCCCTGCCAGGGATCCGGGGATGCCCCGGGAACACCCATTCCCCCGGGAACACCCATTCCCCCGGGAACACCCGGCCTGCAGGACGGGCAGGAGAGGGAATATATCCGGGGAAAGTGAAACCAGTTAAGGTGGAAATCACAGCGGGGCTCGTCAGCAGCCTCAGTCACCCCCTCACCCCGGGGACACAGATCCACCCCCAGCACGGGGAACTTGGGAACCAGGACACATCCAAGGGGAAAGAGATCATCTCATGGGGCAAATACGAGTACACCAAAGAAGGAATTGGGGTGCCAGGATCTCCCAGGATGCTGGAGGGAGAGGGTGCCAAGGGTGCCAGGACAAGGGGGAATGGCTTCCCAGTGCCAGAGGGCAGGGGAAAATGGGATATTGGGAAGCAGATTGTCCTTGTGAGGGAGGTGAGGCCCTGTCCCAGGTTGCCCAGAGAAGCTGTGGCTGCCCCTGGATCCCTGGAAGTGTCCAAGGCCAGGTTGGATGGGGTTTGGAGCAGCCTGGGACAGTGGAAGGTGTCCCTGCCCATGGAACTGGATGGGATTTAAGGTCCCTCCCAAACCATTCCATGGTTCCACACCAACCCAGTGGGAATGCCCTGGAGCACTGCAGTGCATCGAGCAGCACCTCCTGTCCTGATCCCTTCTCCACACCAGCAGCACAAAACATTCCAAGAACAATCCCCATTTCAGCATCCTGATTTCACTTACTAAATACTCTTTGCCTTTTAATTAACTCCAGGGTATAATTAAAGCAGGAGCCTCGATGCTGGGGTCAGGCAGGGAACACACGGGGCACAGGCCCCAGCAGTGCCAGGGGCCTGCCAGCACACAGCAGGAAAACCCAAAAAAACCTCCCAAATCCCTTTAGTACAGGGAAGGGAATTCTCCTCTACCCTGCCCTCTGGCTGCAGCTCACATCCCCCGGGGTCTGAGCCCCCTGGAGCACCCCACAGTGCTGCTCCATCCCCATCCCAGCTGTGCCCAGACTCTGACCCAGCACCCGGCTCCACAGCAGGATGGGGAGGAGAATTCCCACTCCTGGGAATAATCTGGAATGGCAGTGCAGGAGGCTGGGCCTCGATGCCCCGGCCCAGCCCTGCAGGTGCCACACACGGGAGCAGCCCCTTGTCCCCAGGGGAGCCATTTCCTTTCCCACAGCTCCCACACCCCAGCTGGACCAGTTTGTCCCTGAGGAAAATCCAGTTTCTACCCCAGACACACAAATCCATCCTCTGTGTCCCCAGGATCACCCAGTGCCATCACTGCTCCCCAGGAGTGGTGACCTGGGCAGTGCTGGGGACCAGCTGGACTCCACGGTCTCAGGGGGCTTTTCCAACCTCAGAATTCCATGATTCCTCACTATCCCACACCTGCACAGCTGTTTGGGTGGATTTCAGCACTACCTGGAGACAGGAACCTGCTCCAGTTTCCTGTTCCTTAGGAAATGCCCATCCCAAATGGATATGACATGCCTCTATCCATGTCCCAGGAGCCACTGGAGCTCCTGGATAAAGACACTCGGAGGTGCAGGAGCCAGAGAGAGCCAATGTCACTTATTCCAAGGAATGCACTCTTCCTGTGGGATGAGAGAGTCCTTGGAGCTGCCCCACCCCTGCAAGTATCCAACACCAGGTTGGACAGGGCTTGGAGCAACCTGGGATAGAGGAAGGTGTCAGGTGGGACTGGATGGGATTTAAGGTCCCTTTCAACCCATACCATTCCATGATTTCATGAGGATCAGGGTTTGAAGGAAGCAGCCAGGGAATGCTGCAATATCAGCTGGACTCAGATCAAAACATGGAACACCAGGGCCAGCACTGGGTGATCCCTCAGGGACCAACCAACTCCCGGCCAGTGGCCCAAAATGACATTTTTACACCTCGTTTCCCATGGGCTCAGAATAAATTCACTTTTCCATGGGCACTTCATCCCAGAGCACTGAGCTGAACGTGTGTGTCCGTGTGCTCTTCCCAAAGGGACAAAAGCCTTCAGCGGTGCCGAAGCACTGGGGGCACTCACCAGTTTGCTGGTCTTGGCAGCATCCACGGAATCTGTGGAGAGAGCACAGGCAGGGCCATGAGCCCCAGGGACAGCCCTGTGAGCCCCAGGGACAGCCCTGTGAGCCCCAG